TGAATACTGCCATGTTTCTTGGTCTCGGCCTTGCAGAACGCTGGAGTATGTTTTTCCCAGAACTGTTGTTGAACGACACCAGACGATCAGTGAACTTCAGAGCCTTTCTGCAGTTAACTACATTGACTTCAGAAGACCCAATGGATGCCATCGCATATCAGATAAGATTGATGTGACCTCACTAACTGTCCAAATTGCCAATGATTGCCTGGCAGACATCGAGCTTGTTGAGAAGATCCTTCAGCCAACTGTTGATGCCGCTTGGTCGCATGGACTTGCAGAGTGTCAGGTTAAGCATTTCTTTCCATGGAACGACTCAGAATTCCAAAAGCATTTTCCACATGGAATCACTATGTCAGTATTGGATTTGAAAACGTTTCCAAACACTGTGCTTAATGAGATTCTTGTCCAACTAGCCAGCCTTAAAGTGAGGTACCATTTCATGAATTACAGAAGACTTGCCATTTTTGGACCGCCGTCACTGGTCATTAATCTTCACTTAGCCCTTCTTCCATTTGACATTCATCTACCGATTGGGCCTAAACAAGGTGCTTTCACTGTCCACGTGCTGCGATCAGAACCACATTGCACACAGACCGCCAATGATTATAATCATTTTCAAGTCAAATTTGGCAAGATTGGTTCATTTCAGTACGCACCTGCACAGATTTTATGGGCTGAAATTCCCTCATCAATGTGTAATGAAGACCAACTCGATCAATCAAACCAATCATCTCTTGTACAATTACTAAAACAAAAGGTGGGGGCTGTCAACTTCTCCATTCGTTGGTGTCAGGTTGACAGGTCGCAGCAAAAGTGTCTTTGTTTTGACATCGAGATTAAACATGAAGACTCTCTCCCTCTTTCACTGGATTGTGACCTTGGCCAAGTTGTCATCCAGCACCAGTGCCCCTCTGCAGAAGATTTTCGTGCTGATGTGTCACTTACTGAAGTCGAAACCAGACGAGATCACTGGAATAAAGTCATTGCTCAACAAATGATCCCTAAAGAAGGCAGAATCAGTCATCTTTCTTTTGAACCAAACAAGAAACAGTCAGCCAAAAGATACTATGATTTGCGCACCACTGTCATTGACTCTATGCAGGACTTTACTAACATTATTGCCATTGCGTCCCAACCGCCGGCCTGGTTTTTCTCGCCTAAAGAGTTGCATATGCCCTTGATGGAATGCCTACAAAAAGTTAACTTTTGTGACAACTCTTTCATGCAAGAATCCTTTGTGATGAATCCCGACACTGTTAAGATTGATCTACTTCATCACGAATTTATCAAGCATAGGGACCACCTGAAGTGGCTTTTTTATCATATTGTACTTGGCCCAGAACAGTGTTTCCATTTGAAATCCGTCCACCTTGAGCGTGATGAATGGAAGGTACGGTACTACGATGAATTGATCATACGTACTTTTGAACCCTCCTCAATTTTTATCACACTCCCACCCGGAATTTCAATATCGCAGGTCATCGATAAAACGCAATGTTGTCACCTTCGAGAAGCATATGCCTGTAGCGTACCATCACAAAGAACCCCGGATGTTGGCACTACCCAGGCTGGATTGAAGGAGCAGTATACTAATGCCACACCGACTGCTCATTTTCCAAACGGCCATGGAATGAACAGCACTAAGAGTGTGAACTCCCACGGACAGTCGAGTCCAACACCAACAGGTAACAGGCCAGCTTATCGCCCACCTTACAAACCCAGGCAGTGTAGAGGATCTCCCAACACACCTCCTGAGGGTGACATCGAAATGCAGCCTGCGCCAACCAATAACAACAAACATCCAGAACCCCCGGAAATGCACCTTCAGGCAGGTACCGGCGAACACTGTGAAGATGTGCCCATGGAATGTGTTGCAACAGCTCTTGATCCGGTTGACGACGACACCCACAGCTCTGACAAAGAGTTGCAACAACATGATAATACCCTCCATGGTCATAACCCCCTCGCCTCTGACAACAACCTTGCCATGACCAACCTCGATCAGAATCACCCTCGCGAACCTGAACAACATGCCCAGGATGGCATTACGAACAACCTCGGTCCCCCCAAGGAGAAACACGTGCACCACAACACAGGTACGCCCGCTAATCAGGAAGATGTCGCCAACGTGGGGCACTCACGGTTGTGTGACACTTCCCAATTTACTGCCCAGACTCATTCTGTTTCCAAAGCCACTGCACAACCCTTACTACTAGACTGCCCCACTCAGCATAAGGATGCCACCCACAGATCCACTCATACCCACCTTATGCCTCAGGCCACTGGATCAATCAACTCTCCTGCGTGTACTGCCAATGACTCAACGCCTAAACAACAGGACCATTCTAACAATCTTACCTCAAAAATTGGCCTACCTACACAAACGAGTCGGCAGACCAGCAAGCAAACGAGCCGCAGCAAAGATGAACACAAGAGTGTACCTAATCAGCCACCCGAAACTATCCTAGACCTCTTAGCACAAAAAGCCGCCTACCAGCCGCTGAATGACAATGCTAACACACATGCTCCTGGCGATGATGTAATCTTTGTTAAAGCCTCACACAGCCCTATTGACAACATTCTATGTGGCAGTGCACAAAGCAGTAGTCTCCTTATTTCCAATAGAGAAATCATCACTGGATGGCCCAGCTCATTTTCCCATGCCGATTGCGACTATTTTTCCAAGCTTGCAACGTGTTATCTCATAAAATTCCCAAGCTACATGTGCTATGCGGTTACTGCACTTCGTGTCCTCACCCATGCACCTTGGAATGACAACATGTTTCATGGCCACATCAGAGAACTAGTCCTATGTGCTATCGGCAATGGATGGACATGGGCTGACCAGACTGCTACGGTGCAAGGAAGACGAGTAAGCATTGGAGAAGTCTGCGCTGCTTTTGCCAGCTACCTTAACGTTAATGCCTTTCCACCTGGGCAAGTTTCTGACCTTGATACCGCGATCATTGCGGCCTGTGATGACTTGTTTCCAGACCATTGCGAACTCTTCTTTGCGCAATTTCATGTGAATTGCCTTTCATGTAACGCATCGGGCAAGGTTTCAGCCGCTCTTTTTGATACAATGTTGAGTATTAACCTGGAGAACGATACCATTGATCTTTCGCGAATGATTGCAGATCGGGCTCCGCGACTTGCACTTGACAGAGAGGATGTTGGTTTTTCTCACGCCAGTGACTGTTACAATCAGGACCAACAAAACAATGAAGAAATTGAAGGTTGTTTGATTTTCACCCTCAAAATTACAAGCCCCATTGAGCAACTGCCAATTGCTACCAAGGCTTTACACCTCCTTGGACAGCTCTTCAATGTTCCCACCCTGAGTGCCAATCCTGTTTGTCAATCTTTCCTAGTCACTGGTATCATCATTGTTCAAGGAAAGTCGTCACACCATTTCCTTATCATTGAGCGATGGAACGAAGGACAGGTTCTCGTTTATGACAACCTCCGAGGCCATGTATGGATCTCGGTCGAACAACTGAAAGCCACCTCTTTTGTATGGGGTTTTGTCTTCCGTCGACATGATCATCAGCCTTATTCCTTCCAACCTCCACAGTACAAAGCCATTGCACCTGCCACACTTCAGTGTGCCAAGCAGTCTCATCGTCCCAAAAAACAAAAGTTAAAACCCAAAAATATTCTCGGCATTAGTGCCAAACGATATCAGACCCCCAACCTTTCAAGGAAGAAAGTGGGAAATAACAGTACTTCGGATCAGTTAACTGAAGCATTGGATAGCAAGCCAGTTGACCCCCTACCACCAAGCGAGAGCCCTCATCCTGCCGATACCCCGAAACACACTCACCCTGCACACAGCGAGGTGGGTGATCAACACGGGGTACTCGTGGTTGGTTACCCACCTGGAACCCAACCCACGTCTCCCCCAGTGCAAAATAAGCCGGCCGGCAATGATCATCCCAGCCACCATGGGGTACCCATGGTTGGACTTGGACTGCCTTTTCCTCACGCTGGTACACCCATTCCACATGCTGATCAGAACAACGACATTGTGGGTGGTACGTCAGAAATCCACTGTGGGGCACCCACAGTTGGTCTGACGGACGTAAGCGGTCAACTTGTTGATAGCTCCTTATTTCAAAACTTGTGAGAAACAAGGTTTCGTGCTGCTATCTCCCTCTGTCTTACCTCCCCTCACTCCTTGTGGTCTTACGATGAACCAAGGGCCAACAACTCAACAGTGAAACTGAACCGTTCATTTGCAATGTTTTTGATGATGCTGCGTTTCAACAGAGTGTTTTACACATTCAAGAGTTTCGGAATCTGGAGTCATTTACAATGTCTGAATTACAATTCATTCTTCAGAGATTTCTTTGGACATTTCATTCAATGTTATGGCCGTGGAATTTGGCTGAGGGTGGGTGGTGTGACACCTCTTATTTTGAGGTTGTTTTGCCTGCTCCTATATGGGAGCTCGGGCGCGGGGCCGGATAGCCATATCTAGCCCTGTGGTGCTTCAACCAGTGCCTGTTGCCCAGCTTCGCTTCGGTGGTCGCGAACTCATCCTTTTTGGCTGTGGATTTTTCACTGCAATTTGCTGGATTCTTTGGTTGATTTCAGATTAGATCTTGGGTCGCTCTCTCAGTGCATGTGGGTGAGTTTGGATCGCATTTCAGTTTGTAACAGGCAAACGGACTTTCTTTTGGACACACCGGACTGGTTTAGCATACAAATTTTCATTGTGTCCAGCTTGGAACCGGCAGAGACTCATCGGTTTTTGCGATCCTGTTTGGCTCTCCTCATCGAGCAGAAGGACCTGTTGCTGTCGGGCACTGCACTCAGGCTTCAGTATAGTGCATCTGGATTTTCAGTTCCTACTCCTCCTTTGCAAGCATTTTTACAACCTGCTGTCGGCCAAGGGGGGGGAGTTTGGGACGATTCAGTCAGCAGCAACGAATCTAGTGTTCCAGTAAGTATTGCAAATGCCTTGGAGGATGAAGACCTTAACGCAATACAAAGCGATGCAAACAGAGACTGGTGATTCTTTTGAGGACAGTTGTCCAGGTGAGTCAGGCGGCAGGTCTGAGCAATGCCAACATTTTGAACCCAGTTTTGGCGGCACTCTTTTTGGAAATGAGGCTGAACACTCAGACACTGACTATGGTTTTGAGCATGTTGGTGGAACAGTTTTGCAAGGTCGCAATGGTCTTGATTTTTCGGGTGGTACATCAGAACCTTCAAATTTTGTTGTGACTGGCTCTTCAACTTCATTTGAACTCTTGCGGAGTGCAGTCAGTGCCAGTGAAGATTCGAACAGGGTCAGATCAAAGAGGTCTGCCGATGCTTCCAATTTGGGGGCTGCACAGGTACCCAGAGGCCCGGTTTTGGACAATGGGAACTTCTCACAAATGCTGCATGATGCTTTCATTAGAACTGCAGAGCCCATGTCAGTGGTTATGCCTTGGGAGAGAGGAGTTGCAAAGACAATTTTTTCTAGAGGCCGTAACACCTTGGGTATTCAAAAACAACAGTTGAGAAGTTGGGTTCAGACAGCTGACAGTTTGTCGGAAGATGCAGTCGCAACGGAACCTAAGATGGTGGAGGCACCCGGCATGGCGCTGTCTGGAGCCCTATTTGAAAAAGTTTTGTCGGTGGTTTCGGACCAGAATTTTCTGGAAAAACGACAGGAGGCCTTGGGTGTAGCCATAGACAAATGGTTCAGCATCATCAGAATCAACCTTTTAGGATCTGAGGTTGGACAGACAATCATTGGACATGGCGGGAACATCCAAGAGCAGAAATTGGGTGCTTACGAAACAATCGAGGCAATCATCGGTGTCAGGTCGCGGACAACAGCCATTTCAAGGGCAAACGCTCTGTTGAAATTCTTCAGGTGGAGAGCGGACTTCACAGAAGATGATGGCAAGCCGGTGACTGAGCAAGCCGCTTGGAACTACGTGGCATGGCTTAGATCCGATGGTGCTGCCCCTACAAGGGCATCCAGTTTTCTGGCTGCATGTGGTTATGCGTTGCATGTTTTTGGGTTCAAAGATTTTGACAGCGTGTACAACAGCAGAAGGGTGAGAGGACTTGCAGAGATCATGCATTCTGGTAAGAGTCCCCTCAAGCAGGCAAAGGTCCTTTCTGTTGCACAGGTGGTGGCATTGCACAGTTTGATGGAAAACAGAACAGCCAATTTCATCGACAGGGCGCTTGCAGCATACACCCTCCTGGCCCTTTACGGCAGGTGCAGACACAGCGATTTGGCAGCGGTGGATTGTGTGATGTTGGACTTCGATGAGAAAGGTGGATTCATCGAGATATCAACAAGGTTGCACAAGACAGCTAAAAGTGCATCTCAAAAATCCCAATTGCTTCCAATTGTCATCCCGGCGATTGGGATCACGGGACAAGTTTGGGTGCAAGAGGCAATCGATGCTTTCTCGTACTGTGGCTTGAGTTTGGAGGGCAAAATTCAAGGGCCTCTTTTTAGGCCGCCCATGGCAGCTGGTGGAGGGCTGTGCAAACGTGGTCTGACTTCGTCGGAAGTGACAAAGTTTCTGAGGCTCCTTTTTGAAAGCAACGAAACAAACACTGATGGGCCACGTGTGTCGTCACACAGCCTTAAGGCTACTGCGCTGTCTTGGGCATCCAAGTTTGGATTGCCAATCCCTGACAAAGCAATTCTGGGAAGGCACGCAAGTGCAACTACAGAGGCACATGCGATTTACTCGCGCGATCTGGCTGTGGCATCGGTGATGAAATTGCAGGACATCATTTTGAGGATTTCACGTTTGGAGTTTCAGCCTGATAACCCTCGCAGGGGGTACTTTGCAGAAGAAAGCAGACCTCAGCCAGAGATTGAGGCCAGTGAGGTGGTGAAGGTGGAAGAAGATTCACCCTCTCAAGAAGTTGCTGAAGGCGACACAGAAATGGGCAACGGAGAAATTTCTGAACATCACAGCTCCTCAAGCGACTCTTCGGCAGGTGAGTCTTCGAGTTCAGAAGCTGAGGTGAATCCTCCGCCACCAAAGTGTTACAGACATACTGCAAGAGGCCATTTGGAAGGCCGCTTCGTGATCCACAAGACCTCAAAACTGGTGCACTACAAAGACTCTGTGGTGGCAGACGTGAAATGTGACGGCAAACAGGTCTTATCATGTGGAAGAGCTTTGACTGGAAACTATGGAACGGTTGTCAATTTCGACACCGTTGCACTTTGCAGAAGATGCAAAGTCAATGCAGTCAAAGATGGATTGTTGCCACCGGTTTAAAATGGGTGCGGCAGTTATTTCTCACACGGTGGGATGAATGGGTTGCACACCCAATTTGATGCATGGCATCAAACAGGATTGCACGGCATCCGTATTTCTTCACATCACTCAGGATTGCATGGCATCCTTTTCTCATGATGCATTTGGCTCTGAGACGTGTGATTGGATGGAATGGCATACGTTTTTATTTTCCAATAAATTAGGATTGCAGCAGAATCTACAACATCAGCTCACTTTGCGAGGTAGATCTTTGGAAAACACAGTGATGTGAAACATTTTTGTAGATTAGTTTCGATTTGAAAAATTAGGATGATTTGAACTTTGTTGTTTCTGGTTTGTCGCAGGTGTCAATAGGTATCCTTGCGGCAGGGCGAGATGGCGTCGCTCCTGGACTCAGAAGCTCAGTTTGTTCAGAGAACGCTGGATCTCAAATTATCAGATGAGTTGAAGAGGAGTCTTAAAGGTGCAAATTTACAAACCTTTGGTACACTGGCTTATGCACATGGGCAGCCTGGGCAGAACATTGTGGACTCTGCGTTTGAATCATGGCTCACTTCAAACATTTTGACAGGGGCGAGTGTTGCTGATATCGCAGGTGCCAAAAGGCTTTTATTCGAATCGCAGACCATGGTCCTAGCGGCATTGCAGGATTCAGTGAACACTCCAGACAGTACCTCCATCAAGAAGGTGCCAACCGCAGAGCGCGAAACCAAAATGAGGCAGTTGAAAAACCAACCGAGCGGTTTGCTTATCGAAGGCCCACTTGAACCTGGACATTCACTACTTGATCTTGCAGCAAGTATGTATCAACAAAATGAAGTTCGTTACATACCCCCTGAAAAAGCTGTCAGCAGATCCCATGAAGTTTTGACGCAGAAGAGCCCTTCAAAAATGCTGGACATCTCATCTGAGAGCCTGATCATTAAGGAAAAAACCGAAGTTCAGGACATGGTTGTGTCCTCAGCGTTACAAATCCAAGAGGCTTTACAGCGCAGAGGTTTGGCCCTTGTCTTTGCGGACCTGGTACAGCATGCAAGCTACACCAGGTACCTCACTACGTTGTTTTCTCATTTGCACAGAGAGCCGCCGGCGGGGTACAGTAGGTGCTCAGTGAGTCAGATTGTGGCTGCTGACAAACTTGTGTGGCAGGCATTGCTGGAAGAGGGAGTGCAACCGAAGCGAGATGATGCAGGTGTGTTGGCCCTGGATACCAAGCTTCTTAGCGCCTTGGAAAGCTATCGAGTCTCCTTCAGCTTGCTCCCTCTGTTGGCAAAGAAGGACAGTCCGGGAAACATACAGAAAAAGAACAAGCCGCAGCAACCCTGGACAGGTGGAAAAGGATCAGTTGGGGGTACACAGAAACCTTGGTTGAAACAAAAAGGAGGCAAGAAAGGAGGCAAGTCGAAACAACGCGTGCCATCTCACATCTTCAAGTTGGGCGGAACGGCTTCCAATCCAGAAGGGGAGCCCATTTGTTTTGGATTTAATTCAGATGGAGGTTGTTCGGAAGCAGCAGATGGCGCCAAGTGCCGCAGGGGGCTGCACATATGCTCCAAATGTTACGCATCTCACAGCATTTTGCAACATGGAAATTGACTACACTCCAAAGCCGTGACCTCAGATTTATCAACTGATAAAGCAAAAGCATCAGGTGGTAAGTCCTTTAGCGATGTTGCCTTGGAAGTTCCAAATTGTGTGAATGATAGGGTGGTAAAACCTCAGTGCGTGCATCCTTCCGCCACTAATCCATGCTGTGAGCGTGTTGGCAAAAAGGAACAATTTTCCACAGTTCTCCAGGAATCAGCGCAATCGTGTCAGGAACATCAGCAGACGGAAGCTGGTGGGGACAATTGTGAACAATTTGGTGCACTTGAAATGCAAAGCCATCTCAATAAAAGTCAATTTTCCTTCTCAACTGAGCAAATCACTTGTCCAGTGATCATAGAGGTTTTCTGTGGAAGTGCGCGGGTCACGGCAAGCTTGAAGGAGCTCGGTTTGGTTGAATCTTTTGGAGTCGACCACGAAGTTGACAAGGCCATTGCAACTGTGAAGAAACTGGATTTGACAGACAAAGAAGACCAAAAAAATTTCAAGCAATGGATGAGATCACCTTTAGTGGTTGGCATTTTCTGGGCGCCGCCATGCGGTACATGTTCACTGGCTAGAAACATACAGCTCAGGGATTCTTTTGGCAGGAAAATTCCAGGACCTGTACCATTGAGGTCACCTGAATTTCCAGAAGGGCTATCAGGTCTGCGAGACAAGGATCGTCGCAGGGTGTCAGCGGCGAACAAGCTCTATGAGTTCTTAGCAGAAATAATCAAGGAGGCAGTGACCAGAGGTCTCATCATAGTTGTGGAAAATCCGAGATCATCACTCTTTTGGCAGACTCGATTTTGGAAGTCAGTTGCAAAGCATTTTCTTTACACATCACATCAGGCGTGTGCTTACGGAGGGGTCAGACCGAAATGGACAGTGCTTGCTTGGAACCATCATCGTTTCAGTCAAATCAATTTGTGTTGCGTAGGTGAGTCACCATCGCATGTCCACAAGCCGTGGGGCATTGTACACTCTGAACAAGGTCCGCATTTTTCAACTAGTGAGGAGGCAGCCTATCCCCGAGGCTTAGCTCGAGCAATAGCCAAAGCATTTGCGGACATCTTGATACAGCATGGGTGGAGTCCACCACATGAATTTTTCCAGACACAATCAAATGACATCCCCTTGAAAACTATGAGGGCAATAGCCACTGCTCAGCCGAAAGCATCTAGAATCCCTCCAGTTGTGAGGGAACATAAGCAAGTTGTAGTGGTACGTGGACCGGCAGACTCCCTGAATAGCATGCCAGTCGAACCAATGCAGAGGCTCAAGTCTCCACTACATGTGCCAGCTGAGTGCGACTCTGCAGTGCGAGTCCTACCAGAAGGCTCACAATTGCTAAGGATCACACCACTGCGGTCAATGGGGGGTATAGCAGCACAATCTTCAGATCTGGTCAAGGAACAAAAAACTGTTATGGAGCAAGCGTGGGGTATTCCCTTTACGCCTGAGGAGTTCATTCAAGAAGCTGTGAACAGAGGACATCCAAAACTCATCTCAACACTTGTACCTCCTGTTCTAATGGAAGCTGTTTTTCACAATTTCCAAAATGGGGACCTCAGCCATTTACCACGACTTAGAGCAGAGTGGTTCAGCAAATGGACAGCCAGAGCCAACGAGCTTAAAGCGGAGGAGCTACAGTGGAAGGCAAGCATGCCGGATCACATTGCAAACATTCTAAAACCAAAGCGGCTTCTTCTTTGGAAGGAAATTTTGTTGGACATTGGATATCCAGATGCAGATGTGGTGTCGGAGCTTTCGAATGGGACTGAGCTTGTGGGGGAAGTTCCTTCCTATGGCATTTTCGAAAAAACTTTCAAACCAGCAGAAACCACAGTGGAGAGTTTATGCAAGGCAGCAAAATCAATCAAGCGAAAACAGTATTACAGTTGCAGATCATCGGGAGACACTGAAATCGATGAGCTTGTATGGAAGAAAACTCAAGAAGAAGTAGAGCTGGGATGGGCATCGGGACCAGTGGATATATCTGACCTGCCCACAGATGCAATTGTTAGCAGACGTTTTGGTCTCCGACAGCCGGGGAAAATCCGTCTAATAGATGATTTGTCAGCCAGCAGTGTCAACCAGACGGTGCAGTGTGCAGAATCGCCAAAACCACAGTCGATTGATTTTGTGGCCGCCCTTCTGTTGACAATTCTGAAAAGCAGTGGAGGAGCAAAGATCAAAGGCAGGTCTTTCGATTTGAAAAGTGCGTATAAGCAACTTGCCATAGCTGAGTCATCCTTGCAGTTTGCTTGTGTAGCCGTATACAACCCCTACAAGAAAAAAGCTGAAGTGTATCAGTTGCTTGCAACGCCATTTGGAGCAACCAGAAGTGTGTATTCTTTTCTACGCATATCACATGCAATTTGGTACACAGGTGTCAAAGCCTTGAAAATAATGTGGAGCGTGTTCTTCGATGATTATGTGGTTTTTTCGCATGAGAGCCATGTCAACAATACTGAAACTACAGTTGAACTCTTGTTCCAACTGCTGGGTTGGAAGTTTGCAGTGGATGGTGATAAGGCTACTTGTTTCGATGAAGAATTCTCGGCGCTGGGAGTACGCATAAATTTGGTGGAAGCTCAATTGGGACGAATCAATTTCATCAACACTGAAAAGCGTATCAAAGAATTGAGCGACGCTATAGGGGACATTATCAAAAAAGGAAGCATGACTGTTTTGGAATCTCAAAAACTCAGAGGGAGGATGCAGTTTGCTGATGGACAGGTTTTTGGTCGCTTGGGAAAACTTTGCATGAAAGCCATCACCAATCATGCTTTCAAGAGCCAGGGCGACAAATTGGAAAAACAAACGGTCGACGCCTTGAGGAGGTTTACAATTTTCCTGAACCATGCTAAACCTAGAAGCTTGGAGTTGGCGTCGGATTCAGTCTGGACCATTACACTGATGCTTGTTACGAACCTCACAGAGAAAATTGGGTTTGTGGTCTCGGTGGAGTTTTGGTAAATCCACTGGGTAACAAGGTGGCTTTCTTTTCAGTTGAGTTATCTGCAGAACAAAGAAACGCACTAGGAGCTAGGTCCAAAAGGACTATCATCTTTGAGGCTGAATTACTGGCGATGGTGCTTGCGTTTTCTGTTTGGAAAGCAGTCATTGGATCATCCAGTATCATATGCTTTGTTGACAACAATTCTGCAAGAGATGTCGCAATCTCTGGGTGTTGTAGGAACGACATTGCAAATGTTTTGGTGGAATTCCTTTTGAAACTCGAGATGGCCACCAACGTCACACCGTGGTACACTCGCGTGCCTACACCTTCCAACATAGCGGATGATCCTTCCCGTGGAGTTATTCAACACTTGTTGGAGTCTGGATCTGAGCGTAAAATTCCTTCAGCCGAGTTGCAGGACATTTTCACAATACTTTTGGAATCTGCGGTTAAGAGGGGAGATGCTGAACAGTGATTCATTTTTCTTTGCGGAGCAGCGGAAAGACATTCGACTATGTGTCGATTCATTTCTTCAACATATCAACCTTTGCATCTACAGATGCATCAATGGAACTTGTGGCTGATGTCCAGCCAATGCCGTGACACAGCATTCATCTATCCCCATGTCACCAACGGAGAAAAAGAGTTTTGGAGCGAGTTTCAAATGCCAGCATTGATTCAACATTCTGACTTCATTTTGCAGTTGTGTTCATGGGGGACTTGGTTCAGTTTGGCATTTTCCCTGCCACCCTTGGCTCAGTTTGGCGTTTATCCCTTTTGGTTTTGCGGCGTATACATGTGGGGGGTAGGTCATGGGGTTAGCAGCCACAAGTTTTGAAATAAGTAAGCGGTCAACTTGTTGATAGCTCCTTATTTCAAAACTTGTGAGAAACAAGGTTTCGTGCTGCTATCTCCCTCTGTCTTACCTCCCCTCACTCCTTGTGGTCTTACGATGAACCAAGGGCCAACAACTCAACAGTGAAACTGAACCGTTCATTTGCAATGTTTTTGATGATGCTGCGTTTCAACAGAGTGTTTTACACATTCAAGAGTTTCGGAATCTGGAGTCATTTACAATGTCTGAATTACAATTCATTCTTCAGAGATTTCTTTGGACATTTCATTCAATGTTATGGCCGTGGAATTTGGCTGAGGGTGGGTGGTGGGACACCTCTTATTTTGAGGTTGTTTTGCCCCCACCCGCCACACCCTTTGCAAAAACAACCTTGTACAGCTACGACATTAAGTGCACAGTTCACACAGTGCATCACTTGGTCAACTCATTCGTACCTATATGTTCCTGTTGCTGTACTCTCTTGCTCCTGTACGTGGTGTACAGATTGTCCTGGCGTGTTTGACGAGGATTTTTCACAGTGTGCAGTTGGGGAGATGCTGAACAGTGATTCATTTTTCTTTGCGGAGCAGCGGAAAGACATTCGACTATGTGTCGATTCATTTCTTCAACATATCAACCTTTGCATCTACAGATGCATCAATGGAACTTGTGGCTGATGTCCAGCCAATGCCGTGACACAGGATTCATCTATCCCCATGTCACCAACGGAGAAAAAGAGTTTTGGAGCGAGTTTCAAATGCCAGCATTGATTCAACATTCTGACTTCATTTTGCAGTTGTGTTCATGGGGGACTTGGTTCAGTTTGGCATTTTCCCTGCCACCCTTGGTTCAGTTTGGCGTTTATCCCTTTTGGTTTTGCGGCGTATACATGTGGGGGGTAGGTCATGGGGTTAGCAGCCACAAGTTTTGAAATAAACCCCTCAAAACGATAACGGTCCACTATCCCATGCAGACCTTGGCAGTAAAGAGCTTGTTGATGTCCCTCACCCTCATGAACCTGAGGCTTTGACACCAGTCAGTCTTAACGCAAGTGCCCAGTGTCCAACGCTTGAACATGCACCAGCGGAGACTGTCCGGTCACGTCCCAATGATAATTACAACAATGTAAACCCATCCTGTAGCTATGCTGGTAGTCTCCGCCCTCCAGTCAGTGGTGAAAGTGAGGTTTCCCATAGTTCTTTTGCGAAGGAGAAAGATGCATCCCCTCCCAAAAGGGCTAAGTATTCCAAAGTTCACCCATATGCTATTATTAGCCTATTTGACGGTGTAGGCTCAGCTATTCCGGCCATCACTAAAGCTATTGGATGTGCCCCGCGCATCATCATTGTTGCAGAATGTGACCCCATCCTCAGACAACTCGTTGGTGAACAATTCGATCTTCGCACTGATGGTGAATGGACCCAATCCAGCAAGGACACTTACACGCTTTATGCTGACGACGTGCGGCGACTTCTTCGTAACCAATGTCGAATATACTTAAGGAAGCATTTGCATTAGCTGGGCCACAGTGCCGCTGGTTTGTAATTGCTGGCTCGCCCTGCCAGGATCTTACCCCAGCCGGCCCTCTGAAAGGACTCCTCGGACTTACTGGCCATTGTAGCTCCCTGTTCTACTATGTCCACGTAATCCTTTGGCTTGTGCAAATGAACTATCCTCTGGAGCACATCCGCTTTCTGCTTGAGAATGCAGGTGCAATGCTTGACATCCATCGTAAAGCAATCCTACGTGCCCTTGGACTGAACCCTGATTCGACTCCCGATAGCCTCCGCGTTGACCCCAAGAATACACATGGCATAAGACGTAACAGATTTTACTTTCGCAACTACCAAGACGGTGTCAAAGTCTCCAAGACGGTTGTCCTGGAACCGAGTGACATAGAAGGGCCGTTAATAGACTTTAATGGTCATCCGATTCCTTATGGGCCACTCCTACGAGTTAGATCAGTCCTAGGATACAATGTGTTTCAGCTATCTTGGACGGCATATCAACCAATTTCTCTTATTTGGGACTACCTTTTCTGGGGAGATAAAGCTCAATTTCAACTCAAAGCCAAAATGCATTCAAGCGATATCATCCCTGCCCTTGATTTTGAGAAATCCCTGCCGCCACATTATCTGCGTGCGTGGAATCGATTCCTGCAGTCTCTCCGACAAAAAAATGTGAGCACCATTGATCGAGACCGGTTTGTCCGTGCTATCCTGCCCATATTCCATCATCCCCACATCAAAGCACCCATGAGAATCTTGCTCTGTGAGGAGGTCGAAAAACTAGCGGGATTACACAACCATTTTGACCGAGTACAGGCTCACCGCTCGCTGCTCACTGAGTTCACAGTTAGAAACTATTGCGGCAATAGCTTTCATCCAGAATATATTCAGGCAGCTGTAGGACACCCTGAACGGCTACGCGACTGGCTTACTGAGCCTGCTGAAACAGCAACCAAGCATGCATGGTCCGGAGTCGTTCACCCAAAACAAGCTCGAGCCCAATACCAAGCCCTGCGTGAACAAGTACAAACCTTGGCACGAGAACAACGTATCCGTGATTTCTCTTCCAAGCAAGTTGGTCTCGACCCAATGCCGGAACTTCCAATCCATGCACTCGAAGGTCCCTTGACCCCAGTCATGCCAACTGTACTTCCTAAGCAACTGTTGCCTGCTAACCGTAAGATTCACCCTGCCGACCTAGGCGTCATGGACAACAGACCACCATCACAGCTTTCGCCAACTGCTATTCAACTCCTCCAGGAACAACACATGCAAAGCATCCTCGTAGGTATGAGGTTTTTCGGAGCAGGCATTGGAAGAACAGAAGATTTGCTGCATTTCTTCTTTGGCCATAATTATGATGCTGTAGTGGAACGCCATTGTCCACAGGCCAAGGAGTGGATCTCCCATAAACTCAAATCCGCTGGACAGTGCACCTCCACCATGGCACAGCTTTTGCTTTGGTTGTATTCCCTATTACATCGTGAGCAAGTCTCTGTTCATTTTGTTCATATTGCTGACTGGGAAGATCAAGCACATATTGCCACCTTTGGTGATGCCCCTGCCAAATGGACGGTCTATTGTGTTCAATTTCCACGCTCGCGTACTTTTCACCTTGACACAGCTGCGTGGAATTGTCATACCCGAGTTGACATCCCATGGCAGCAACTGCCTCAACCTGTAGTGTTCACGGCTGCACCCATCCCGTTCCGCTGCACCAACCCCAACTGCATCTGGTTTGCTGTCCCCTATGGACCCAAAGGACAATATCTAATTTGTCATCGATTCATTGGCACATTCCTCTATGACCAGTGCATTGTGTGCTTCTTGTCTCGTTTTATCGAACAAGCCTCGTGCAATGTACATACAACAGCTAGTTCTTATCCTGAACTACACGGTTGCATGTTCATTGACAATGAAGGTAATGTTGCCGTAGCTGCTGCGCACGACTGGAGGCTTGATGACACTGCAGGATACCAAACATGTCTTATTAAAGCATCGATTGACAACCGTGTCTTCAAGTACCCAGAGCATCGTGACAATCTTCCACATATCAACCCCATTGGAAAGATCAGTCAGGAACTTGCATGCAACTGGAACACGGACGATGCCCCCCCGGATTTTGCTTTTTTTGTTTGTTCCCTAATTGAGTGTCATTAAAAACCATGCAGCGCCTAGGGACAGTTGCGAAACCTCTCCTGCTCGAATTTCGCAACGCGTGGTCCCGGCAAATTCGAGCGTTGTATTCACTTCAGTTTATGACCAAATGTCCAAAAAGCTTACACTGCTTGCAGTCACTCTCGTTCTTGCCGCATGTACTCCAAATCCCCGCACCGTGGCCAATATTAGATATCCAAACGGTGGCTAATAAGTGTGGCATCCGCAGTGAATGTTTTACCCACTCTAGACAACTCCTTGCACAAGCATTAGCCAACTCTTCTGAGTTTAGCCTCCTTTGTGCCGAAGTACTGCCCTTAGACATTTAACCACATGGAATGTCTCAGGTTGGAGAACGTTGCAATGGACTAACCCTAAGACGCAAGCCATCCTCCGCCGAGCTCGGAATGGCATTGTCTGCCTGCAAGAAACCAGATGGACGGCGAGTACTGCTACCAATTTTCTCCAAACCTACCCAGGTTTTAATATTGCGCACTCTCCATCGATCGCAACAGAG